GCCTGTCTGCTAAGCTCAAAACAACCGCGCCTGGCTTGACGGAGAAACCAGAACAGCTGAGCATATTTACGACAGTGCACTTTTACTTTCGCCCTCTAGGGGGAGCCTCGCTGGAAAATCAACACCGGTTGCATAGTATACCTTTAAAAGCAGCCTGTTTGAGGCAGAATTATAGGACCCAAACATAGAAAAGCACCACGGACCAAAGAGGGACATGTAGAATCAGCAGGAGATGAAGAAGGTTTCATATGATGAACCATTTTGTAGAGGTCATTTAGTGACAAAATGCTCAATAAGATATAGACGGAATAATTGCAGTGGCTGGAGTATGGTAAAGAGAACTAGAACTAGAGACAACCTTGGAGTTATAAAGGGTCACAGATTACAGAGGTCAAGAGAGGGAGAAACCGATAAGGGCTGACAACGACTTAGAAAGTATCTTTACTGTTTCAAAGAGAAAGACAGATTTTCTGTCAATCTTTGCAACAAACTTAGAAAAGAAACCATTTTTCGCAGCAAAAGATTTCCCTCAGGATTTCAACCGAAACTTGAAGCTCGTTTTTTCCGGCACTTAAGTTACGCCCCCCTGATTGAAATTTGTGAGAGCGAATTACATTTTATTCACTGTACCAATTGTTTACATTTACATCTGCAATAACGTACTTTAACTGTAATATGCAGTCAGTTCCACTGCACTTTAATTTAGATAGCTTCTGGCCAAACTCTATTTATTCATTTTATAGTAAAACCCATCTGTATATTATATTTGGTACATATCCAGCTGTAAATTTAGTTCATAACACTAGTGATCTATATATTATATTCATTATTTATAATAGTATTCATCTCTATACTCATTCAGTAGAAATACCCATGTGCTGTATTTATGGAACCATTATTTATTATGCACTTGCTGCTTTTTCACTTCTGGTTAGACCTAAACTGCATTTCGTTGCCTTGTACCTGTACATGTGTAATGACAATAAAGGTAATCTAATCTAATCTAAGCTATTATTTAAAGTATTTATCAATAAATATTGATACCAGCTATCTTCTCCCGCTTATACCATGGGGCCAGTGCTTATCTCTGGCAGTCTATGAGGTAGAGGTGGGTGACAACCTGGACAAGTTGCCATAGAAACATGCACACACATACTCCCACCTAAGGACAATTTAGAGAAGCCAATTAACCTAACAATCATGTTTTTGGACTGTGGGAGGAAGCT